TCTCAAGTATTTATTGAAAGCCTATGATTGCTGTCAGTGTAAAAGGTGCCAGGGTTGGTTATCAACAAATGCAAAGCTGGTCAGTATCAGAACGTTAGACTGCCAAGGAGAGCTAGACACAGTATTGCTAAATAAAATAAGTGAACTATTAATACTAATAATAACCTCATTGATAATGGTAATGATAACTTATGATCTGAAATACTGAAAGCAAATCCTGTGAATTTTCCGTCTTACACAACTTCTATAAAATATTTTATTTGCAGTATTAACATGTAGTTCATAGTTTTGCGCTCATAGGTCCTTTCTCAGGATCTCTTCTAGAAATTGTCTACTTGGTATTTAACTAAATTCAGCATATTCCATTTTTACCTTCCTAACCCTAACTGCGGTCACTCTGACCTACTGTACAATCATGTATTCAGAGGTGACACATGGCTTCCCAATAGTAAACACTACTCAATTAGCAATTTATAATATAATTTATATTTTATCCTTCCTCCCTTCTTCCCTTCCTCCCTCCCTCCCTCCCTCCCTCATGAATTTGGGGATCGAATGAACATGCCTCTGTACCCTACTGTGTTTCGTTCTTAATTACATTGTTATTCGTCAAAACCAAACAAAGCAAATTTAAAAATTCAATATGCATGATAATATATATGATTTATTTGAGATAGCAGTTCCTTATCTCCCTTACAATTGGGGATTTTAGATTGCAGATTTTAAAATAGAAAGTTATGTTTATAACCATTAATGTTGAACTTGGTTATATCGTGCTTATTTTTATTTACTTGCTTTTTTTCCCTTCCAAAATAGTATTTTTATTGATTATTTGAGAATTTCTTAAAATGCACCCTGACCATGATTCATGCTGCCATTGGCTGTTAGGGGCAAGGAAGCTTCTTCTGTAGTGGTACCGATGACTGCAGACTCATAATTGAAAATGAGAGACCTCAAGGTGTCCGTTTACTTGCTTTTCATACAGGCTCTTTCCATGCAGCCTTGGTTGGCCTGAAATTCCTTACGTAGACCAAGCTGGCCTTGCCGTTGCAGTAGCCCCCCACCCCCCACCCCCGCTTTTGTTTGTTGAGAGCTGGCATTACAGGCCTGAATACCATCTGTGGTATATACTGCATTTATTTTAATATTGCATGTATAGTTGGCTTGCTTATCAGAGGCATTCTTTCTTATACCTTTGTGATAACTACAGGCTTAACAATAGAATAGCTTTTAAGATGACTGATTTGGAAACACAGGTTTTTTTTTGTGTTAATTATAATATAAAAAAAATGATCGGGAACAGCTCCTCAAGATGATCTATAATGAAGTCCTACTGTGAGTGACCCAAAATGGGGATACAGAGGTTGTGCTGATAAGATTTAATCATCTAATACCTAGACTAAGTTAAGAGTCTGCTAATAGATGGATGATCAAAGATATGGTGACAATAATCCTAAACCAGAGGAAAATTTAATTCTATGATCCTATAAAATAATGTTCATCTTAGGATCCATCCCCACGACTTAATGTATTACTGTAATTATTACTATAATAGAAGCTTTTCCATCAAGTTATTTCCACAGCCTGTCAAGTTAACCTGTATGCTGGCTAATACTGAAGCTAGGACCATTTCCACGTCCATCATGATTTGTGCAATTCTATAGGTCAAGTAAGATTGCTTCCGAGTCATTCAAAATAAATATTGTTCATGGAAACTATGAACTGTTTGGAACTGGAAACCTGTTAAAAATATAAAACGTAACAATAAAGGCAAAACATCTTACTTCATAAAAGTGATTTCATGTTCGGTTGTAGAGTTAAGTTTCATTCTCCATAGTTAGTGCAGGGTTGCTCATACCTTAAAGAACATAAATGAAGACTTTTGACTGATTTGAACAAATGGCAAAAACACCTCTATTTACCTATAAGCCACCCTCTAAAATAGTAACAGAAGAGTCTTGTATACTGTATTGATATTTGGTTCACAGAAACACATAGAAATTCACTCACCACACGACACTAGTTAAATCACTCCAGTATCAAACACACACACACACACACACACACACACAAAGAGAAAGAGACAGAGAGAGACAGACAGAGAGAGAGAGAGAGACAGAGAGGGGGGGAGGGAGAGAGAGGGACAGAGAGGGGAGAGAGACACACACACACACAGACACACACACACACACACAAAAAGAGAGAGAGAGAGAGAGAGAGAGAGAGAGAGAGAGAGAGAAGGAGAGAGGGGGAGAGAGAGAGAGGGTCAGAGAGGGGAGAGAGAGAGACACACACACACACACAAAAAGAGAGAGAGAGAGAGAGAGAGAAGGAGAGAGAGACATAGAGAGGGGGGGGGAAGGGAGAGAGAGGGACAGAGAGGGGAGACACACACACACAGAAAGAGAGAGAGAGAGAAAGAGAGAGAGAGAGAGAGAGAGAGAGAGAGAGAGAGCGCAGGCACACAGGGGTAGTGAAGGGAGACAGGACTTTGGAGGAATCAGGGGGTCACAGTAAGGAAAGGTGCTATAGCAGGCACCGCATGCACCTGATTTCCTGACTCCCTCCCTCTCCTCTAAGAGAGGGAGTCCTTTTGCCATCCCATCCTTCTCATGTTTAAACTTTAGCTTCTCAATTTAGCAACCAAAGAAACATAAAAATCAATTTAACTGCCAAATAACTAATTGCATATTAAAAAGGAAGAAATCAGCAGTGTGTTAGTGTGTACTGTAATATGAAATATAAACCCTTCTGGAAGAAAGATTAGTGAGCCTCTCTGACAACTGCCCCTCCATCACTGCTTTGTTTCTATGGAAACTAGTGTTCAGAAGCCAAATCAGTACCATCAACTATTGTCTAGGTAGAGCCTCATCCTTACCACAGTCTGAGAAGTGAAATACTCTGTCTAGAAGTGAGAGAGACCAAATTATAATACTTAAATCGTGAGGCAAATGTATTTTTGAAAAAAAAAACACACGAAGTTTTACTAAAGAAACCTTGCATATTAAGAGAATAGGACTGATTAGATGCTAAATAATAAATAGAACTTTTACTCAAGGACTATCTAGTTTTGTTCGGACTATCACTAAGTACCAAAGAGATTCTAAATAAATCACTCAATACTTTAAAGTACAACGAACCTGCATGTGAATTATGAAAATGAAAGGGTTGTAAGGTAAAAATAAGTAAAGGTCTACATGAGGTTGACTAAAATTGATCTGGAGATCTTCTGTACTCATTTGTTGGGACACCAAACATGTGTGCAGACATGTACACACACACACACACACACACACACACCCCACTGCATTACAACCACACCATTGCATTTAACCCTTACAAGCACCAGCGCTATGAATATAAAGAAACAAAATCTATATACCATTAGGAGACCTAAAAATCATATGAAAGTGAGATTTGTAATCAGGTTTGAGTTCAAAACGTTGCTTAGTCTTTGAAATAAAAATAAAGCCAGCAGCAATGAGAGAAATTGGGAGATGTGAGAAAAAATGAGAGCAGCTGAAGTTACAGTAATTATGTAATCACTTTAATACTCTGAAACTAGATGGAATCTTTAAAGTAAAAGACATGATTGTAGAATTTAAGATCCTTTCCTGGAGATATTGTTCAAATTTCTGAATTGGTTATATTATCTCATTTTCTATGCTTTATATTGTGAGTCACTTGCCAACCTTACAATATGCCGCATAAAGATTTGGTGGCAAACAGGCAGAAATTCTTTGACAATAACCCGACGTGTATGGTGGGAGTCTGACTCAAAACTAAAATATAAATCTCCGTGCAATGGACGTTCCCTGCTCTTCTACCTCTTGAGAACAGAGACTATCAAAACCAAAACAAATGCATCCTCACCGGCTTTGCCTTTTCCAGGGTTCGAGCTGCTCTCCGTCCAAGTCTGAGACTCCGTCAGGAGGTGGCTCTGGGACTCTCTCAATGGCTTTGCAGGAAACTGATGGTTTTCAGGACTAACAAGAAGTAATCACGATCACAAATTAACTCTTCACAACATTGTTGGATATTTCCCAAAATGAAATGTAGCCCTCTTGCAATATAGGCTGTTTGCAGAGGGGGGGGGGATGCAAGACAGACTGAGTAAATCTGGTTCTCCGTGAGAGAATCACTCTGTTTAGCCTTCTTGCATCCCTGATTATGCAGTCCCCAACTCTGGGAAATTTCCACTTTGAATACAGAAAACGTTCTCAGAGTCAAACTTTAGCATGTAAGGGAATTTTGTTAGTATGTAATAGCAGTTATTGGGTGACCATTTATTGTTTTATTTATGCCAAATCATACCAGTTTCTCACTATGACAATCAAATGAAATTTACTTTCTTTTTTCTTTGGTTTTTCAAGAAAGGGTTTCTCTGTGTAGCTCTGACTGCCCTGTCAAGACCAGGGTGACCTCGAACTCAGAGATCCATCTTCCTCTGTCTCCCGAGTGCTGGAATTAAAGGCGTGCATCCCACTTGACTGAAATTTGCTTGTAAAGTAAGATTAAAGGCCATGGATATGACTTAGTGGGTAAAACATGAGGACCAGAGTTCAGATCTACTGACTATGTAAATGCTGGGTGAATGTGGCAGCTGAAAAGGGGGCTCCTTGGAGCAAACAAGCTAGCTAGGCTAGCCAAAATGGTGAGCTATGGAATCAACTGAGATAGATCCTTGTACTGATGAATAAGATGGCAAGGGATCAAGGAAGACTCTAGATGTCACTAGGGCCTCCACATGCTTTTGCACATACTACTGCATACATACTCATGAATATGTACACCCACATATGTGTATCCACATACATGTGGACATGCATATACATACATATGCAAGGCCACCACACAGGTCTACACATAACACTTAGTACCAAGTTAAGGAAATATGTATTGACTTTATTAAGTGATATGTGTGCGTGGAGGAAATATAAAGCACACGGTAAGAAGAAAAGTTAAAGAAAAAAATTGGCTTTGTGTTTGGCAAGTGACTTAAGTCGGCTTGAGCAAGGAACTTCTGTCCTTTTGTCTGATAAGCAAAACTGAGTCATATTTTGTAGGAACTTTCCAAACATATGATATTATCAGGTCTCAGAAACCTGGTATACAATTTAGGAACTAATAGAAGCTTGAAAAAAGAACTTTGTTTAAAAAATTAGTTAGACCTGCTATGGATTAACATATTTGATGGCACATAAAATACTACTTAACTTGGGGACGTGTGTTAGCACAGAAACTCCCTCAAATAATAGTAACATTGTTTTTCAAAAGAACCTCTTAAAATCTTTCCAAGAACAATTTCCCACATTTCAGCTGATTATAATGATTATGTTTTAAGGCTACAAGGATAAGCTTTTGCAACGTGATAACTGCCTCACAACTAAAATTTCTGAGTATTTTAATTTCCTTTTTGTGGCTTTAACACAAATAAATTAATAAATCAAATTTATTAAAAAGAAGCAAATCTTTAAAAAAAGCATGGCCATTCAGGTTATATAATAATATAACAATATATATCACATATACAGCTATATATACAACAATATATACACACCTGTATATATGGCTTAAATTATATACACAGTATATATAATGTATACAGTATATATAACATGTAATATGTTATATATTATTATAGTAATAATAAATATTGTTACAAGAGTAGATCTTTGTCATTTGTTATAATCATATTAGCAGTAATGAAATCTCAACCAGCAGTTAATTAGTATGCTACGTCTTATTGTACTGGCTGGTTTTGACCATCATCTTAACACAAATTAGAGTCATTAAGAGGAAGGATCCTCATTCGAGGAAATACTTCCTAGAGATCCAGCTGTAAGTCATTTTTTCATTTAGTGATCAATGGGAGAGGACCTAGCCCATTAGGTAGTGCCATCTTTAGGCTGCTGGTCCTGGGTCCTATAAGAGGGTGGGGCGAAGCTAGGGGAAGCAAGCCAGTGAAAGCTCCTTCAAGGCCTCTGCATTAGCGCCTGCCTCCAGGATCCTGCCCTGTTTAAGTTCCTGTCCTGATTTTTTTTTTTCAGTAATTAACAGGAATATGGAAGTTTAAGCCAAATAAACCCTTTCCTCCCCAACTTGCTCTTTGGTCATGGTATTTTGTCACAGCAAAGAAGCCCTAACTTAGTTAGAAGCCCTAAAACTAAGATAATTATATATCCCTTACATCAAAGAATGAAGACTTTGTATTCATGGAAACTTTATCATTAAATACGGAAGAATAATATACACATAATCAGGAGATAATAAACTCAGTGACTTTCTGCGCTCCCCTTTGCGATGAAATTGTGTTGTCCAAATGTGACTGAACATGGCCTCTCATGTACAGGTCAGGGGTAACAGACACCTATAATTCTAGCAATGGAGAAGTGACGCCAAGAGGATCAGGAGTTTAAGGTCACCATCGGTTATGTAGTAACACGATACCCTAACTGACGCCCTTACCTCACCCCCAGGCAATGGTTCTCAGGGCAGTAGCTCTTGAGCAAAGGGGAGTTGGCAAACCCAAAGGCACCAAATACAAAGTGTGCTCGGTAGAGTTCAGAAAGAGAAGAAGCTGTGTGTGTCTGGGGATTGGTAATGATGAAGAAGTAAAGAGAGATGACATCAAAGGGCAGTCTAGTAGGCCAGGCAAGCACATCCATTAGCTTCTATATAAATAACAGACCACGGGAGAACTAGACCCAATCCAAAGAGAGAAAGACGGCCTGGGAAGACCAGATAGAAACCTGTTGAAATCATTTATGGGACAATCAATAGTGTGCTAGCTTAGGAAACAGCCATGGAGGTGTAAGTAAGGATGTGTGTGTGTGTGTGTGTGTGCGCGCGCGTGCGCTCACGTGCACATGTAACTGCAAGTGGTAAGAAAGACTTATGGATATATAGAGGAAAAATTTAAATCTATATTATTGCTGCAGTGTTAAAGAATCAAACCCAGGACCTTGCACATACACAGTAGACCTCAGTGCTACCTCTGAACTATACCTCTGGCCTTTGAGTTTGAAGCAGTCTCATTGATTTGGGGGTCAGTCGAGTCCTGAACTTTCTTTATAGCCCAAGCCGATCTTTAATTCAAGATCCCTCCCCCCTTAGTTGCTCAAATTGAACCTCAACTCTAAGTGAAAGATAAAAAATGGATGTTGAGGACACATTACTTCAAATTCACTTAGCTGAGTAACTATGTCAGAAGTCAGATTTCCCCTCCCAACCCTATAGTACCTAGAAGATAGAGAAAAAAATGTTGCTTCTAAAACCTGCTGATTCTTAAAGTAGAAAAACCACTTAACAGGGGTCAATAATATTAAAGTAATCTACTATTACATTTTGCAAAACTTTAAAAACATATTCTCAATAATTTATTAGAACTCAGTTATTTTACATTGACGTATAGGAAAAAGCCATTAACGTTTAACCCTATATAATTTTCAAGCCAAAACCACTTAAAATTTGACCCAGGAAATGACTGATGTCTCACTGAGATGTAGAAGAACAACCTTCTCACAAATGGGTAAAGTTTGGCCTGCACACAGCTCACACCAAAGACAGAGAGACAAATACATCTTAAAAACTTAATGTGATTTTGGAAGGTTTGCCAGAGTCACAGCCTTGAAAATAATTCTGGAAACACTCCAGAAATCATAGGAAAAAGTCCTGTAATCAAGAAATATTCACAGGTTAAGTGGCTGTTTGCTTCTGAAGTTATAGCAATGAAGAAAACCTCTAAAATTTTTAAATAATATCATGCTTATTCTTTTGTTACTGACTTTCATTTAAAATTAGAGCATGTTGGAACTCAAATAAATATATAAAAAGTAATTCTTCAATACTGGGAAATTTATATAGGGAGTTGGAGAGATGGCTCAGAACTCAGAAACACTTTCTGCTTTTGCAGTGGACCCGAGTTCAGTTCCCAGCATGCACAAGGTGGCTCACAACTGTCTGTGACTCCAATTCCAGGGGATCTGACTTCCTTTGGGGACTTGGAGGTACCAGGCAGCATGTGGTGCACACACACACACATGCCGACAGAACACCGTGCACACAAATGAAAGAAATAAATCTCTTAAAATTTTCACAGTAAAGCATATGCATCCGTCTTCCAAAAAAGAAAAATTTGGTTTTGTTTCTTAAAAAAAATAAGAAAATTCTCATATAGCAACTTTAATGGTTTTGTACTTTTCCCTTTATCCAATTAGTGGAAAGCCAGAATTAAACTTCTGTCTTTATGTTCCAATCCTCAGATCCTAGATAGACTAGAATTCAAACAGATTTAAAGCTACAGCAAAGGTCTGCTTACAGTGTATTTTCAAATCCCTTTCCATTTCTTTTGGGAAAACACATAACACACACACACACACACATTACACACACAGATACACAAGCACACACACACACACATGCACAGGCACACTGACTGGGGCAAGGCTTCGAGACCTTTCAGAGCCAGAAGGATACAGTGTACATAGTTGTATCCTTCTGTATCAAGTAGATGCCCGGAGGTCCTTTTGATCTCCAAAGGCCCAATTGAAGGAATTTTCTTTAACCTTTATAAACATTACCTCGGAGGAGAGACACCAAGGTTGGATACAGGAATCCTACCTTGACATCTAGTTGGAGCAGAGGGGAACTACTTTTGACTTACAGTATTTTTAAATCCTACCTTTCAAAAATCATAATATATTTTGGGTTGGAGAACTGGCTCAGCCATTAAACGCTAGGCTCACAGTCAAAAATGAAAATATATTTCATTCAAATAAAATGTTTTGAGAATTAATACCTTTTTTTAATTAATACCTTTTTTTTAAAGAGTCTTATTTATTTTGTATTTTATGTACATGGGTGTTATGTCTGCATGTATACCTGCACACAAACAGAGGGCATTGGATCTATAATTGGGATGACAGTTACTGATGACATGAGTCTCTTTGTAGGTGCTCGAAATGGACAGGACCTCTAGAATAGCAGTCAGTGCTCTTAATTGCCGAGCTCTCTCTCTAGCCCACCTGTTTCCTTACTCCCGTCCTTATAAACAGAATTGTATTTGAAACTATGTATCTTCTCTACTTTGCCACTGTCTCCCTCCATCCCAGGAGGTGGAGGTCATTGTTTATCCCACATCTCTGACATCTTCTTCAAGAAACGCATAACCAAAGAAAACAACAAAATATAAAAAAAAAATCACTTGCAAATGAATCAGAAAAAAAAATGTAGCATTACTTTTTCGCTGTCGAATTTAGTCCTGCGGGAGTGGACGGTTGTTCGGGATCCTGGTTAACAAGGCAAGTTGGAAAAGAACAGCCATCACCTTGACTGTAATTAAAAAACAAGGAGAAAACAGTAAGAAGACATGGGTCAGTGAACTATTGGCTTTCCACTCCCAACCGTGAATTGCTGAATGATACTCTAGAAAGTCCTGTGCAGAAAAGCAGCAGGTTTAACTCAAGGTCATCATTGTTTGCTAACTTTCATTAGTTCACCTAGAAAGTTTTCAGAAAAATACCTTGAAAATATTGGTAGCAGCCAGTACTTCTTCTCATCACCAAACACTTGCAGCATGTTTTTACTGAAACCCAAGCTGAATCCATTCTTATCTGTTCCGTGTCTAAATACTGGATTTCTGAATGCCTCTAAAAGAAACAGAGAAGCAGTTACCGTGAGTACAGAAAGTATATACTAGCGACCCCTAATCCTGGAAGGAGCGACGTGACGCTAGCCTCCCGAGAGTCCTCACGGACCTAGACATAGCCCTACATAGAGACAACCAGGTTGTCTTTTCGGTTTTAAACTATTAAGAAATGAGTAGGTCTGTTTTCATTTTTCACTATTATAAGAACACATGTGAACTAGAGAAAATTAGAAAGTTCAAAGGAGCCAATAAATTAAAATCGACACCTCCCAGATCTTTGCTTTACCTATCATTAGTGTGTGTGTAGGTGGGTGTGGTGGGAACACATGTGCCATGGTGTGCACGCGGGGGTCAGAGGACAACTTTATAGAGAGAGTGGTCCCCTTCCACCTTTATGTGGGATGTGGGGATTGAACTCAGATTGTCAGACTCTGTGGCACTCCTCCCCACCACCACTGATATACCCCACTAGCCCACCTTCTAGATCTTCTGGCCAAAGACAGAGAGAGAGACAGAGAGAGAGAGAGAGAGAGAGAGAGAGA